ACCAAGCTAAATAGTTTATCTGTCAACAAGAAGCATCTATTAAGAAAATTTTAGCATTTATAATAGACCCTGTAGAATAACATTTAGCTTTGACAGGTAACTAGGCAGGCGTGGCTGGCACGATCGTACGGAGGAAAGGACAGATTAGAAACGATAACATTAAGTAGTCATGTTTATCATAGAAACGTAGTGAGTTGACTACTGTTGCCACACTGTAGACAAATGTCAAGTAATCTCTAGAAATACAAAGCAAGAAGCTGAATATGAGGAGTCTACGGTATCATAAAAATTGACTCATTGTGACAAGATAAGACTCAAGTATTTTTCTCAATTCTTGTCATTCAATGACGCATCTTTGTTAGTATACATGTTGTTGTTGAATTAAGTGGTTTACAGTATAAACTCGGCCTCATAAGAACGCAACAATAAATCGAAAAGAAGAATGGTATATTAGATCGGGATTATTCTCATTCGAATACCGACAGTTTGTTGAAATATTCTTCTCATGAAGTGGACATTCTCTGTGTATCTTTTCACAAAGTCGGGATTAATAGACATCAGACACGTGTGTGGTTTTCACCAAGTCGGGGTGAACAAACGTCAGACACATGAACAGCCGCTCAAAAATAGGTTGGGTCATTTCATGACTGTTAAGAGATTAAGAGAAACGATACGTCATCTATTTGTCTGACAGTTCCACTGGCCCGATTGTCCACATAAAAACAATTGTTTGACCCGAGTCTTGTTATCGGACACTTACAGGCGTGGCTGTGGCCGGGATCTCCTAGTCAACACACTCACTGCCGACCGACTACATGGTTTCATTAGAAGCCATTGTTTTATATATATCATGATTTAAGATTTAACGCCTGAGAACAATTATTATTTCCGCAGTTCTGTTGACATTTTATCGACCTCTTGATTTTATACAATATCTCCAAACAATATTGTGTAAAGACTTAACCCATTTATGTTGACACGAGCCTGAACTGTATTTATTTATGAGTATCTGTAATTGGTACAATACTCATGCAAGTTTATGGTTTGCCTATGTATAATTAGTTCAGAAGCTAATCAATATTGAGATTTCTCTTCATTGTTTGTTTCGAGCCAGGTTATATGCATCATGTTCCGGAACCCCTCTCGAATTACAGATGGTGTCTTGTACCAGGTTGTTCCAAATGGTCCTGTCTGACGTTCGATTATACACATGACTGAGTCCGAATGTGAGGCAACTTTGAGTGTAGTCCTTAACAAAAGTTTATTGCTAAACTCAATAGCATAATTAAAAAAAAATAAGAGCCACAAGGCCGACTGGGATCAATTTTTGACACAGATAGTTGATATTATTGCATTTTAATGCTCTAATAACGTTTAAAATGACCACAAAATAAACATTTGAAAACCATAAATTGAAAATTATGCTGAAATTAACAAAATGCTAATACGATTCTTTTATTTAAATGCCGAACTATTCACAACAAGCGGTCAAGCGAAAGCAAGTTATGGCAAAATATCAAATGTCAGCATTTCGAGGTTTTAAATTGTAATCTGATTTATATGGTTAAAGTGCATGATGAAATAAGGTTTGTTGGAAAAAAACACTTTTGAGGGCAGCGTGTTGTATGATGCACACTGAGTCATATGCATGTATGTAAACAATGATACCATTCAATAACGCATAAAGAGTTTTGTGACTTTGACTTGCACAATCAGATTATAAACTATACCCGCAAATGTCAAATCATCATTTGTTTCTGACCAATGACACTTATATCAAACAAGTACATCTTTGAATTCCAGCAAAGTAATACAAAGTCAAATTTATAGGCAACAAATACCATTTTATGATTGGCTGATTCTATTTCCGTCGTCCAAATTACATTGGTTTATTCATGCTTGTCTACAGCACTCCGCCAAACGTCCTATGCTTATCTTCACAGCTTTGACACTATCAATACATTGACGTCAGTCTTACCTGTGTGGCGAGTGCCTTACTATACAGGTGATGTACAAGGGCGTCAAGTCAATTAGAACAAAACACTCCATGGTGAATATTCAAGCATAAAATCTGATTTCAAAGCAAAGTCGAAAAATTTCATTACAACAGAAACTGAACCAAAATCAAGACAAACTGAAAATCATCATGAACGCCGACAGAAAATCGGAGGTGAAACAATGTGCTCCGGAAGAGTTTTCCTTACACGACAATCTGGCCCCCGTCATAGTGTTCAAGAAGCACATGTGTCCCCGTCATGGTATTCAAGCACAACATGTGGCCCCGTCATGGTGTTAAAGCACCACATGTGGTATCCGTCATGGTGTTCAAAAACCACATGTTGCCCCCGTCATGGTGTTCAAGCACCGCATGTGGTCTCGTCATGGTGATTAAGCACCACATGTGACATACGTCATGGTGTTTAAACATCACATGTATCCCCGTCATGGTGTTAAGGCACCACATGTATCCCCGTCATGGTGTTTAAGCATCACATATGGCCCCGTTATGGTGTTTAAGCACCACATATGGCCTCGTCATGGCGTTTAAGCACCACTTGTTGCACATGTCATGGTGTTTAATTAATTACAAGATATACGAAGTAAGGAGATACAGAAAGCCAGATAAAGTAAACCTTGTACCACACCATCTGACCGTTTATTTCATTTAGGGCTGGTCAGTGGTCCTACAGGTCAAAAGAGTGAGAATCCGTGTAAAAAGTGACCGAAAACATGGATAATACAGCAGAAAGGAAAAAGTGCCTATAAACCCTCTGTAACGTTACAACTTTACATTTTTTGTCTACGACAGATTATTTATTCTTAAGCTACTATTTCATTGTTTTCTTGCTTTGATCAATTCCAGGTACAAGGTTACGTCTAACATCGGGGACTGCTCACGAACAGTCAAACAGCGGAGTCAACACCCTGTAAAACAATCACCTAAATTACGAAGTAATCATAGCACATAATAATATAACCCTATAGTTACTGATTAATATAAACATTACTTTTCCACAAAATACGCTATCTTAGCAATGTTTAAGCTGGGCGTGTACTCTTTATGCCAAAAACGTAAATATCCTTTCAATGCCTGTACAGGTCTTAATGGCTTCCTATTTGTGTTCGGCTTCTATCCTTGGGTGTTCAGTGTTGTGTATATATTTTCTGTTTTTTATTTTTTTATTTTGTTCACTTGCAACTGCAGTCAATGGTACCAAAACTATGAACTATTGTCACGTTTGCGTATAAATCATATCAATTAGTGATACGCAAAGCAAATGAGAGACTATGCATGTTCTTGTATTTAAAATAACCACCCTGGTAAATAAACAACCAGCCGAAGCAGTAGACAAAAGTAGTTGATGTTTTAATTTCTTTCTCTCATAAACACCATAATTATGTGTTCATACGTCAATGTGTATCTTTATTAGAATGTATACAGTCAATAGATAAAACTTACTGCTAGAGTAATCGAGGACCAATCATGACATGACGTCAACTTTAAACTTGACGGAAATCCCCAAATGGTTGCCGATTGACAATTCATACTTGACGGAGCTGGTTACCAAAGAAACACGACCTTGACCGTTCTATCATTTGCTAACACATTTAGTTTAAAATGTATAATAAACACGGAAAAACGTTACAAGAAGATGAAATAAAATTGTCTTTATTGTTTTGAACGTAAACAAAGTAAGTGAATCTTGGAGAATATGTTTGAACTGCGACTTGACTGTATAGCATGTCATCGAGTGTCACTAAGCTTATGGTTTAGCCTAATATAGCACTACTGTTGCCGTTGGTATTTAGTGTGTATGCTCAATACACTAACCTACTATGTAAAAGACGAAAGTGTAGCACATGAATTTGAAAGTGACGTTGATATCACCGAGACGACCATGGTTCGATCCCTTGATCTGACATGAATATGGTATTTGGGTCACCTGCTCGACCACATGGATTTTTTCTCCGGGTACTCCGGTTTCCTCCCACATAAAGACCCCCTGCGCGCTAGCATCCGGGCAACAAGAGTGATTGAGAAGTTGATAACTTTCATAAACGTTGGAAAGTAAATAAAGTAAAAATGTAAATCAATGAGACGCTTGACATATCTCTTCAAATGACATTGCGCTTGGCTTCGAATCAATAACTCAAACTACTACTGTTTCGGGAGCTACGTTTAGTCTATACTATTTCATTGAGCATAGAAACACAACAATGAATAAAGACTGATTTTGTTAGATGCATTGAATGAAATAGGCTAGATAAAATGCTAAAAGCTAAATCTTCATCCAATCTCTTTTTGTTTTGTTATATCCAAATATGTCTAAACTGATATTTGAAATACCTTGTCGAATGAGCTGGCGTTCAAAAAACACCACTCCGAGGAATACCTCATTGTCATCTCCCCGACATTTTGCCAGCAACTCATACACAGTGCCAATTGTGGTTAAAAATAAAACAAACTTCAAATTTTTAATTTTACACAAAATAATGTTTATTAAAGCAACAACATATCATAAATATAATTTATTCACAATAAATAGTATGCTAAAATATTCAACTCATGTATCACAGTTTATGAGAACGGATCCCAATTGTGTATCCTGAATAATCTTTAATTATTTTCATTGTAATAACCCACTTTAGTTTACGTATGTGGAACATTTGTTGCTTTGTGAAAAACTGTGTAAGAATCAAACACATAAACTTGAAATATCACAGTCACTAATCGCATATATCCAATAGGGAAAAGACACTATTGATCATAACTTTTTATGGTTGAACAGAAAAGAAATCTACATTAAGGAGCAATTAATAATGATAGAATAAGTAAAGATTATTCCAAGAACACAAAATCTGTTGTTTTCATTCATAGCATTCAACTTAAATCTCAGACTGATGTCCCAACAATAAAGATGCACCAAGCTCGGCTACAATAATAAAATCCAACGCATCAGGCCATTTTGCTTGCCTGTTCGTGTTTGATATTTGATTGTAGATAGATTTATGTTAAAATACTGGTCTGTTTTGCATATTTTCCAAATTATAAATTACCGACATGTACAAAGTTATTTCCACCATTTATTGTTAAAATGTAAAAAAATAAAACAAACCGGTACTTGCCAATATTTACAAATAATGCTAGGTGAGAACTTCGCTATCTCAACAGTTTTTTCGAGAAATCAAAAGAGGCTTGAATTTTTGCTATCCTAGTTTAGACCAATAACTAATATCGGAATTTAAGAGAACGAGTTCTGATTGTTTGTACTTAGGTGTTTTTTCTCAACAGGTTTCTATTTTAGACATCTTCTCAAAGATTTTCAAAGTACAAGTCCGTATCTTCAGTCTTTAAAGTGACAGAGCTTAGATAGAGAAAAGTCTGTTGTGAATCCGAATATTGGATTGGGAGGGAGCGGTTTTGAGTCCAGAAAACAATTAACAGATTTTGAAAAAATAATTGGATTTGTAATTCCATATGAAGAGGAATTTTGATATGTGGATACAGAGAAGGAATTTTGATTCAGACACAACACCTGTTACCTGTATAACATTCTATCAAACACGCAATAACAATTACGAAGGGACCAGTGTAACTAAAAATTGTACGCTATAACATATTTATATATATATATATATATTAAAGCAAAACGTTATGTTAGACTTCAAACAGAAATAACAAATTAGATTATTTGATTATGATATTTCATCCAAAAACAGGATATACGAGGTATATGTTTTGAGCATGCAAACAACGGTGTATTGATATGAATCAAAAATGTGTGTTGTATGATTTTTAACTTGATTTCACACGTGAATGTACAATAGTGATTTGTAATGTTCATACTATGTATCTATGATGTCATGACATCAGAATATGAATAATTTGGAGATATTAATCAATTTTCATTCGCATCAATATCTAATTAACAATTTTTCTATGTATCAGATATCAAAATACATATGAAAGAAACTTTAATCTATGAACAAATTTTGTCATTTTTACAATTGTCACTATTAATTGTATGCATAAAATAACGAGAATTTAGCAAGGTTGCATCACAGTTGAAACAAAAACTAACATGATTTAACCTTTTTTGAAACTCGTTAACGAAACAAAATTGATAATAATGGAATATTAATAAATATTGAACAATACTGAATTGGTATTCTGATTTAACGATAACAAGACCGTCCCTGATACTGTACATACAGTTTTTCCGCAGCAGTGTTATTTTCACGGATTTTGCGGAGAGGTAAAGCAACAAATTCAACATGACATCGAAACTTTCTAGTCAAGTAACACTTCATACCCTAAAATATCAAACCCGCGACGTCGACACTTCGTGAATAACTCATTGCTAAAACAACACTGCGCGTCATCAAAGCTGTATACAGTGACATAACAGTATAATATGAAAACAAGTATAAATGAAATTGCATGGCACCAATTACGCACAGGCGCAGAAACGTTCGGCTATCACATTCTTGCAATATATATTTTCGTTTAGCACTTTGACATCAGGTATGACAGTAATAAATACACACTCTCTAGCTCTCATTAAATCCAGTCATTCAAAACATTCATATCATATGGCATCTAAAATATTATGAAAATGTATATGAATAATGAAGACCAAGTTGTACTGAGGCCAGTGTTTTTTGGAGATACATGAATTGGTTTTTACATCCATCGTTACAACTTGAAACATCAGCAGTAGTACCCTGCAATTGGCATAAATAAGAAACCATGTTATCTTATAATATAATGTATCTTCAGTAAAAACTTTTCAAAAGCTCTTGATGTTAAGGACATAACAAATGTATTCAAAAGAAACTGTTTCAACTGATATGCGCGAAAATAACTTAGATGATGATGATAATACTGATAATGATGATGATGATGATGATGATGATGATGATGATGATATGATAATGATGATGATGATATGATGACGATGGTGATTGAGACTAGGTCTACGGTAAGGAGACGATTATACGTTGAGCACACTTCTATTTATAAAACATCTTCTCACAGTCATCGCTGAACCCCTCAACAGAATACTTGTATACGATTCTTACGGAAGAAAAAACGCCATCGGGTTCAGAGCCATTCCGAAAATCCAAATACATCCATATAATTCTACTGACGGACTTAAAATTAAGGAACCTTATATAAAACATAGTATCCATAAAATAAACCCCTTTTCAAGAAATAGAAATAGTATTTACCATACCATAACATGCCTGTTTTAGACTTGAGGTCGCAGAAACAAGTTTTTCATGGCATCGCTTCTCCATGACATAACGAAGCAACAAACCTTAATGCATATCCTTATGCTTGCAATACTGAAATATGTTCGTTCGTATGATAAGACTAAGGCGTAGGAGCCGACTGTCGATGTATTTTATACATTTTGTTTCGCCCTGATGAAACTGCAGAGACGCGTAGCTTTAATAGGCTTCGCCCACTGCAGCACATGGTCAGTCACAACATGTTGAGCTGTATACAAATTGTCCTACAAACTCACCTGAATCATTCGCAAGATAAAATCACAGAGCATTGTCTCATAATAATTCGTCTTTGTACTCGATACGGTACTGAAACACTGGTACGTCAACCTCGTCCTCCAGCACGTGCCCGAGGAGGGTGAAATAGTAGTTGCCCTCCCTTGGCAGGGAGATGTGAAACGTCTCCGCGTTCTCATTGTCTCTGATCTCCTCGTCAATACAATCTACCAGGGAGTCAGAATCTATCTCTGGACCAGGGCCAGAGTAATCGAGCTGCGGAATAACTGCCACGTTTTGTAACAAAACAGTGATGCTCAGTTTACCGTCATACGTTCTAATGACAGCTTTCATGTTCAGCGGCCGGATGTTGAAGTGGAACATCGCAGGCCATGTCTTCACTGTTTCTTCGAACACCTCCAACGATATGGGGTTGTTCATTAAATGCCATTTCTTGTCTTTTGGAAAGTGCGATAGGATGAACTCATCTGGTGAAGTGAGGAAGTAGTGATCCATGAAGAACTTCTCTCGTCGTGCTCCGTAGGCAGGGTCTACAAACCTGTACTGACCGTCCAGGTAGATCGCGTTCCATGTATGCTGACATTTGGAAGTTTGTACTGTGTTTCCAGGCAAGAAATCTTTGTTCTTTACATAACCGTCTATTTTTTCACATTTCACTCCAGTCGCTCTATAACAAATATAATGTATACTTCGTTAATACTTTTTTTAGTAAGATTAACAAATCGTGTCATCGTTTTTATCAAGACTTAACCAATACTTTATACTTTTGTTAATGCAATTAAAACGTTTTATATCGCTAATTACGTTATATTAATATTATAGATAAAACAAGTGAATAGTTTCTGTGATTATATAAGTAACACATACGTTTCCATAGAGATATTGAGCCTATAGTCTGTAGTATTCCACCTGCTCATTACACGTGCCAACTTATATTGGAGCTCCCTCAGAATCAAAATAATATTTGTTGTACTCTACTGAGAGATCAACTCCATTGTTATGCTCTCCATAATATCTTATTGTTGTCAAGAAATATGGCCCAAGGCATTGTATTAATTCTTCTTGACACCCATCGTTTTATCAGCTGTGTTTTAAATTATTGTAAAACTCCGAACACAAGTACATGCACTTGATCATGACAAGATGTGTAAAACAATGGTTACTTACTTGCATAAATCAATATACAGCTGGGCATACGATATTTTCTTGTCCACTAGCTGTTTTAGTTTCCCCGAAGGTGTGTTCTTTCCCTTGTTGGATCTTGCATATTTGGCAATTCCAAGGTTTGTCAACCAGTAGTACAGCGCATGCGCCTTGTGTTGCTGTGACGTCATACCCTTCGTTATAGCAGCAGCCAAACTTTTTATGTCGTTATGTAAGTCGGCATTGACCTGTAGCAGAACAATTAAATATGTTATCATTGTCGATGATAGGTTTCATCTCAACATTCGACTAGATCCTTCCGATTTATTATCAGAACATGACATTTGTTTTCATGTCGTCAAGGTAACATAAGGGATGAGCTATGCTTATGCTTCAACTTTGGCTATGCCTTTGTTTCGTAAGTCATACATGATGATGGAGTTCATAATTGTTTCCATATCAACATCTTTAAATATGAGATAATTTCTGTCTTACCTTCCCGAGTCTATCTCTCATTTCGGAAGACTCTGTGATGCATGCTTCATCGATATCGTCCGTTTCTTTGGCGACCTCCGAACTTGAGTAACTGGAGTAACTGCCCGAGGACATACTGACAGCTATACCACTGTCCGGCCGACTCTTCACGCTGAGCTTTCCCTCGATCTGTAAACCAAGTAGATACAATTCAAACACTTGATCACGTCTCAAAGAGAAATACTCATCCTTGAAACATATTGATTACACTTTTCAGGTTTGCCCTGCCATCATTACTTGTTGCATATTTTAAGCTATCATTTTCAATTTAAACTTCATCTAGTCTACATTTCGAACTTGGTCTACGTCGATTACTCTGAAATGGCCATGCACCACAGGCGTAAAGGAATACAATGGCCATGCATGTAACATGAAATAAACCATTTCTCCCTATGACTCTATGATAATAACGTGCCATTGATACTTCCCATATCTGTAATAAATAAATAATATAACGTGGGTGTTCTATAGGGTTCTGTGTCAACACGTAATATCCCTATCATATTACGGTCCATTTTGTACATTAAAATTTATCAACAAATATGGATACAGTCCACATTTCAAGCAGATTTGAAACTTTGTTCCTGTTCATTTTAATTCATATACTTTCGCATTCATATACTCCTCAATTCACATACATGTCAACTCATATACACGAATTACTATTTATTTTAGCGAACGCACGATGTTCTTCCGTTGCATTCTACTTTGCGCTTACCTCTTCAACCTTTGGCATAGTGTTCTCTTCCACACCCTCAGAGAGTGGCTCCATATGAGAGAGACCATGCACTTGCGTCTGCCCCGACCGCCGCCTCGACGTCACTGCGCGGGGAGCATTTCTACGCGCGGAGCTCTGAAACGGGATAAGAGCATCGTAAAATAACAAGCTAAGTGTCGATTTTGTTAAGCTTGAAAAAGGAAAAGAGACAATAATGCCTGTCAACAAAATACTGTCAATGGATATAGATTATGCCTATAAATCATGAAGATGTAGGATTGCTTAGATTTTTTTCTGATTAAAAAATGGGCTACAGCAGAATAGAATGGACATGCAATGGGCACTTGTCAACAGTTAACAAACATCATACAGAATGATTATATAACACATATTATAATTTATATTGTCCTCAAAGCTTTGAACATGTAGACCGCAAAACTTGAAGTAACTGACACTTTGCGGGGGCGCTTTCAACATCTATAAAATATCGTATAACGTTGGAAATATCGATATCCTACTAACGGCTTTTGTATTCAACTTTAACCGCTTAGCGTGTTTAAGCGGAGCTTATTATCATAACACAAAAGATTAATGTCGTTAAACAATACATTAAAATGCCGAAGGTATGGACGCCTATTCAATTTGATAATGGCAAAGTATACGATTTTGTCATTAGAACAGTTAAAAACACTTTAAAATGCCAGCAATATCGACTTTATGGTAAGCAAGGTAACATAAAATCAAGGACAGGCCCGTGCTGACGAATCACTAAACATTGACGACAAAGTTCTCCTCAAAAGTACAGCTATAATTCACAAATGTAATCAGCTGTAAAGTTGGATTAAGAGCAAAAGACATAAATAAAAGCCCTTGAAACCAATAAATATTTAAATAACAAATGTAATGATACCATGCCCTGGATAGAAAGGGTCAATTACGCTTTCTCTGATAACCTGTGATGCTGAGAGCATAATTAAATACCTATAAAATGTATAGTTTTATGTTAATAATATGATATTACCTAGACTAACATCGACGAAGCCAACAACACTGTCCTCGTACGATTTGCATACATCCAACTGTTATGACGAAGTATAAGTTGTTTTTTATAAGGGTTCCACATCTTACGCTTAATTTAATTGATGCTCGTAGGTAATTATGAAATGTATTTGATTCTCCAAAGCAGGTATAATGAATAGAGTGAAAATCTGTGTTTTCAGTTCACGCTAATGGAAAACGGTCAAATATGAGTTCAAGCCAATTTCTGGAATTATTTGAACTTCAGATATACAAACTCTGATCAACTACCACCTGTGTGGAGTGAATATCAGTTAAACACTTTCAAATATACCCAGCTTTTAATACCGTTATTATATTTGAATTTAAGAATTAATGTGACGGTGGACTTCAGATGACCCCTCTTTTGTGGAACATGTAAATATGAAATAGTATTAAAATTCATATTGAGTATTGTGTTATTAATCGGGATTACTTGTATGAGGCGACCATCTAGCTACACTTAAGCTGGATCAAATTCGGTTTAACACCAACCATGAAAAATCCAAGTACATTTATGCGTGTGTATATACGAATGTAATTGTGCTTTATAAAAGGACAACACTGACCTGTAAACACGATATTGATCCAACTGTAGAAACGTGTAGTTGTCGCACTTATATTGAACATGTACATGTCAAATTACAAGCTAAATACTAAAGTAAACTTTGCCATCAGGCTGTAAAAATTCGTGACGCTTGTATCTTAAATATATTGGTCAATGGGTAAAAAACACTTAATGTTTTCATAACCACACGTATTTTCGGAAACGGTTTTGACATGTTAACAAGTTTCTAATTCCATTGATTTATTGTGATAAGCTATATTTAGAATTGATCTTACTTACCGGCATCATTAGAACTTCACAAGCCATAGTCTTAGAATGCTAATTCCACAAACACCAATTTTATGTTTAATTGAAATTTGAAGTATTGATGTACTATATATCTTCTTCTCGTTGTAAGAACCAAAGCATGTTCAACACAGTTGATGTGAAACTAAGTTGTTTACATTGTGTTCATTCTCAACCTATTACATCGAAAGTAATCCAACACAGGACATATCCCTTCCTTTTATAGAGACACGTGCGCGCGGCTGATAAACTTTCAATTAAAGTCATCCATCCGTTATTTGTTTAAAAATAGTGAGTAGCACCTAAGTGTGGGGTCCTTTAAACCCAGACTCATACACTTCACTCAGGACTATATCGCCATAAATTACATTTTCGCCTAATTTACAATGCACAATAGTGGGCCATTTCTTCTTTGTTAAGAGGGGCACTCCATTTCAGGACGCCTCCTACTTCAATCTGACTCTAAGATATACATCGTTTATGCTGGGGAGGTGTCTAACCTTCCCTTGTGTAACCCTGGACCCCCGCATTCTGTGACGTATGAACAAAGAGCGCCAGATTTTAATAAGTTACCCGGAACACAGCGATTGTATACAACATATACGATTTCACTCTCCCAGGTATGAAAAGTGGGTTATGGATTCATAAAGCAATATATGAATATTGATATCAAGGTATAATAAAGCCTTTAATTACGCTGTCCAATGATGAAGCAGATTTTAATCATTTTCAACGTAATACTGTACTTCAAAAGAACTTTCGTACGCGCTTCATGCGATAAATTAACAATAAAGTCTAAGATCTATATAACGAATATATATAATATGTAATATGTATGTATATATCCAAGCGATTCACTGTACTTTTTCTCGTACATTTTAATTTGCTTAAATAAGCAACTACTATACCTGTTGTATCATGTACAATAGTAAAGGTGGCCATGGTATGAAACTCTATTAATATAATTACATATACTTTATATATGATATTTTTAAAACATCTTAAGCTTAAAATGGAAACCATTTATTTATAATTGGAGGATTGTCTTTGGGTTCTTTGGTAGGAAAAAAACTAAAATAATATCAAAGGGTTTAAATATTTTTCCTTATTTTTACTGATATCCCCGTAATGTTTTTTAACAGCGTTGTTATGCGTAGTATTCTTTAACCGATTACGTGACAGAGACAGTCCGTCAGATAATCCCTTGTTTACACTTTCGTCACTGGTGTTTGCAGTCTCATACAATGCTTACTTTGCAGTACAGTTTCCACCTGTTTAATGCGATGCTAAATATTTGCTCTTACAGCTAAACCGATTAACACGCACGTAATACCACCACGCCGATGATGCGCTATATATATCACCAGTGATACCGCCATGGGCTGCACCTTTTCGTTTGTAGATTTACGTTTATATAATCAGTCAGATCACATATTGATATTGCTTTCTCATCTTTGTGAATTTTTTATGTTTACATACAGAAAACAACCTTTTTAATAAAGTAAATAATAGACAGCAAATGCAGAAATGTTAACATAGAAGGACAAAATCAGACCCCAAATTTGGATTTTTTCATTTTATAGGTAATGTTTACGTAGACCTACTACTCTTTAAAACAATATTTCAACATTTCTCTTATGAACTATCTTTGGTAAAATCGCATTTTTTCCAAAACGACGTTAAATTCGACGTCCATTAGAATGACCTTGGCATATTAATGTTCATTTACAGACTGTGCTACTCAGCATTCAATTACTGCTTTGACCATGTGACCTATTTAGTGGTTAAAAAACTAATGTATGGACGGTATTTGTTTTACAGATCAATTCTATATTGAATGGAGTAGGAGTAACTATTCGTGTACTTAGAGAACAAATATTTAGTTCCACGGATTCTATTGTTTTTTAACAAAAGCAATCAGTATCGACAATTTAAAACGTATGGCAATCAAGGTAATTAAACGCTTTTAGTGTGGACCAGATAGGCATCAAACGTACACCACCCCAGTGACATTTTACTTATAAATATTCATGAGAAATGATTTATGACGTTATAATGAAACGAAACAATAGCTAAGTAATAAGTATGAATTGTTTTCGTTTTAAGTTTTAATTTAAACGAAAGTGGAATTACCAGGGAAGAAATTAATACATATTCTGGTAGTTTCCATGTTGGATTAACTTACAGATCAATCCCAAAATAATAAGTCTTAAATCCTTTGTTATCATACACACCTAATATGATGGTGAGGTCATATGTTAGTCTGTATGATTGTTAACTATATGTTATTTTTAGTGTTTGAGCTGTTCAAATGTGTGTACTTTCGTTATAGTTCTCACATTTATTCTTTCTTTGTTTTCCAATTTACTTCGCGTAAAGAATGTAACACCATTCATGCGTAGAAGCACAGTTACATTACATTTGTGAATGAATCACAGAAGTTTAACAGAACACTTGTATTTATGTCGTGCAATGTAATTTACCTCCCACAATCGTTAGAGTTCTAATCGGTGAGTCGGAACAGTACACTAGTACAGGTCTAGAATGACAGCCCTTCAACAGCGTTCAAGCCAACACAGCTTATAATCACGAAAACAGATTCACTAAACTTAGCTCTAAATTGCATTCATGTTTAATTATTCGTCATTCGTCATCAATATTAAATTATTCTTTAGTAGAACCGGTCTGTATATCATGGTTAACCTGATAAGATCTCTAGTAACAATAGGTTGGGATCCCCATTTCGGAGGATTTTTAACGGTATTGTTCGGTAGATCTATTAGGTCTAATATCTATAATGACACCGTTTATCGTACATCTTAGCATGACTATCTATATCAAATAATGTTTAAAATCGAGAGCTGTTTTATCTTTTGACCGAAATATATTTCATTGTGAAGATATCGATCACTTCGGGGTTTGTAGATACAGCAATAAAAATACTATTATTTGTAATCTATTGTGTTGTAAATATATTAGACATAAACATATTCATTTCTAGGTCAGACTATCAGTTAATACAAACATGTTAATAAACGTTCGCATACAGCTAGGTAGTGTGGGTATTGTACATGATTATCATATCGCTTATAGGCCATCATAATGAAATGCTCGCCTTAGAGATAACTACGTTAGGTTCAATTGTTAAGGTTCAATGGGCCGGTATCCTCCGCTACGTCTATACCAAATATGCACAAATACCCATTTGATGTAACAGTACACGCCACAGATCAAAAGAAGTAGAAAATTATCATTAGAAATTGATCAAATTTGTTAAAAATATACCTTTATAAATATTTCATGATACATATTTCGACTTTGTAACTATATAAAGCTGTTGAGACTGTGTTAGAATTGTACGTGTAATACTGTTGAAGAACAAGTACATCCAGCATACTTCTGTGATTGGATCAATAACTGAAGAAGTGAATTATTTACATCAACTGCGACACACATGTTCCACGTCACCGGATTTCTAGTGCAAAGACTAGTTCATTTAAAAAATTGCACCAGGATACCTCTGTGCTAGTTCCAAGGACAAACAATGGTTGACAACTCCATCATGAAGAGTTATCGTTATTGCCTTTTTCTCCCAGATAAACATGTACACGACTTTGTATAAATGACCCAAATATTGGACGAACATAATTTATGACCACAATGAATCTTGAATACATTTAATCTTCCAATGTTGTTACAACAAGCGGGAATTTGTTCAATATTTACTACAATTAGAAAGCAGGTCAGCCATTATAATGCTGTCTATGGAGTCTGCTTTTAAGATGCTGTGTTTATTGTTGATCTATAAATGGAATTGACACCCAAGCAAATGATTTACATAAATATTGCTATCTCGCCTCTTTAAGTACAGCATTATAAAATCAATATTGTAGCATATGTAATGAAAATGTATATAACTGCATATCTTCATTTGGGAAATAAAATGTGAAAGCAACAGTAACACATGTTTCCAGCGAAGAGTTCTTTATCTATCCGACAACATATGTACATGTCTCCTTAATGCTGTTAACTGACTATGGCAGTAGACGTTATCGTACGGTACAACCCTTGTGAGCTAAATTGCATTTTATATCAGCCTTTTAGATACATACATTCGTTTGTTGGTAGGTGCAAACCCTGCCATTTATCGCAGGTTAGACGTAAAATTTGACATCTGAATGGTTTGACATGACATGGAATTTTAAATATTGAATTTTAGAGAATCTGGATTCGAATACGTATATAAAGTATTTTTAATATCAGAATACATGAATGCGAGTTCTAAACAGCTGATCGATGTTAGAGTTTCAACAGCGGTATTCAGATAGTTGTATATAAACGACCGACCGGTCCATAAAATATGTAGCTATTGTTTGGTTAGACCACCGGAGTCTCGATCAGAAACATTATATCAAACACGGCTGTAACATTAACTGCACGGCTCAATAAGCTAATATTCGCACATAGGCTTAACTCGTATGCTGTAATACTGGGTTAGATTGACTCTGTGGTCTAAAATGTTACAATAGTGTACATGTCGATGTAATATGATATGCATTTCAATTACAGAAATTATTCATAAAGAAGAAGTTATGATTTTTCAGATATTACATTTTATTTGATAAAACCTTATCCACGTTCAGAGAAGAGGGTTATTTCATTCTGAGTAATGTATTGTAATTATATATCACTTAGGTAATACAATTACAGAATGCAGGACATTTTGTACAGGATCATGTAGATGATTTCTCATTTATAAACAGTCAAATACACACATCACTTAAATATTTCCACTATTATTAGATACAGAAATAGGAAATTACTAGATGTGTGTGACGTTTGTGAATAATGACTTAGAATATTGGACGTACTTTTACCTTCAATAATAATAAAAGTACTCAGTGTAATTAACGAAAATAACCGCGGCGCTGTCGCGAACTTTTCACATACACAACCTCTATTTCTATTCGGAGACTTTAAATAAAACATAAAAGGAAAAGGACTTATGTACGTCGATTTTTTTCTGCTCTTGTCAAATGACATTGTTATATTTATGAATGGCGTTTTACCTTATTTTTTCGTGTTGTAGTGTTGTGATTGTGTAATGTATAACAACAGAAATCAACAATGGTCGCAATACGACTTGAAACTTTGCCAAATGTTTTAAAACTTAATCCAGATTATTTATAAAACATAATGTAATTCATGGTTTATCATCATGAATCATAAACCAGATTAACACTGTCGAATTATCATAGATTAGTAACCTAAAACATTGTTGTGTTGTCTGTCTTCTGACATGTATTGAGTTTCTTGCTTACAAGATTTGGAACAAGATCATCAAAACCACATACAGTTTTATCTCTGTTTCTTTGCTATCGTTTAAAAATAAAATCATATAATCATATTTTTACGTCCATACACGATTGAATTCTATTCTGTAAAATATCAGTAATTAATATTTTCACTGTTGTTCTTAAGAGAAATGTCATGTGTACAAGATGCACAGTATTACTATTTCATGAGCATATACCAACTTGTTCATTAAATATTTCCCTTATACAGCCAGGCTATTTAGATGTTTCGGTGGTAGCAGGATATCACAGATCCTTAGTCCATTAGGTATTTAAGTCGTCTACAATATGTTATAAAACCTTAAAAAGCTTTACGCGTCCAGTACTACCTGCAAATATTAAAGCATGCTCGTTATTAACTGGAAAAGTGCAAATAAAATATTGGATTACGAAAAATACAAAGTACTTACCACCCGGTTATTGTTGAGTTTATCATTGGAGCCCCAGAGATCCTCATACTCAGGTGAAGATAACGTGTATTTACGGAAGTCTGGTTCACTCCTCCGGCTGATGGTACTTCCGGCGGATGTGTTTTGGCTTCTGTATCCTTCCACGGCATCGTTGAGACTTCTGGTTCGAGTAAGTGGTGCGGGGCCTACTGTAATGGCCTGAACGCGGATGACGGACGTTTTCCTCATGTGTTCCAGGACTAAAGCTTCCAGGGATTGCTCGGATATTGCATCATTAGCTAACTGCTCTTGGACATTCCTCACGAATGTCTTGTCAAGTAGCTGCAATTCCTGTAAACACACAGAATAAATAAATTCTCTACTTCAAAACAACTTCATACGGCTGCAGATATATCACTCCCTTCCTCCTTTCTTTGTCAGGTTACTCGGTTAATTTTCGATTAATCTTGTCTTAAATAAACCTTGTCCACATAGTATTGTCCACATTAGTTCAATGGCTATTCACTTCAGAATTGCATCCTGTTGTTGTAAATGAATATCTATTTTATAACATGACCTCTCCCTTCGGTACCTGTTCAACCAATAAAGGTTAATCTCGATATATGAACATAATTTCACCATTCAACCGTCCTATTCTACAACGTATAATATCTTAATCTCCAAAAGTTGGCAAACTACCAATCCGATTCAGCTCTGATAACTATACAAGGTATCACAATTACTGGAAATTATGTTTCTACATTCAAACGCGCCGCTACATCATCAGTTGCCCTCTGAAGCATGTGGAACCATACGTTCAGTGCATGCCTGCCTTACCAAGCGGTAATAGCCATAACTAGCAAACATGGTTATTACCAATGGGAAGCGTTCTGAATGAAATTCACCCGGACCATTGTACAAGACATAATAAGAAAAACTACACAATTCAGCCGATTTTTAAATGAAACGTGTTTTCACTTTAAACCAGCAGAGCATAACAGAATTCGTACTACTGAAAATGACAGTACATATATACCTGCTATCGATCCTCGTGCCGCGTATCCACTATAAACCTACATAGAAATGGCAGATCGACCTATCTTCAGAGGAGATATCCTAATAGGTAGTGTTCCCAATTGAAATCCATCTACTATAACAAGGTAATAATAACAATCTCCAACATACTTTCATATGTCAACTAATGCTACCTACTGATTTCAGTATTTATAACAAGTATAAATCAAACCTTTGACTCATAGTGTCGGGGATGTCTGGGAGTGAGTAATTACAAGGGTACGGTCCTGTATGTGTGATCTACATGATCGGGGTATAAGCCGCTTAATAAACAACGGTCAATAGACCATCGGGATGTCGTATTCATGCCAAAATTATGTACAGTCTATATCAATATTATCCGGAACGATTTCCACTTATTTAAACCTCAATTATATGTAATCACCGTCTGAACACTGCGGACAAAAACTGCAAGTAAGGCTAAATTATACATTGCTACAATACAGAAGGTGTCATTTTACACCTTCATCTCAACTTTACACAGCAGTTTGAACTATAAGACGGGATTGTCAAACAAATATTGAATATCTCTTTTCATATGTGCAGTTTGTCGTTTGCGGTAACAGAGGTCAGATACATTAACACTTGTTCTATGTACCTAATGCCCTGCTCGCGTACTCAATTGGTTACTTCATTTAGTTAACTTTTTTTTCCCTTTTGATGATTCATAAATGTTTTCTCTGTACAAACACTTAAACGATTTATCAATAGCAGCAAAATGAGAATACTTTGGAAGAACAATATTAAAAAACCGAATATTGCTTGTTTAGTATTATCATGCAATAGAATATTGACGCAACAATTATTTTATTTTCCTATAAATCACATAGAAATATTTTCCTGTTTAAACTACGTTGTTATATGTATCACCAAACCAATAGAGCTTAAAAAGAACTTGTGAAAATAATAACCTGTTCAATAATACAAACCCTGGAGATCAAATGCTGTTTGATTCATCAAATAGGAAATCAAATAATGAGATCATCCAATGAAAGAACTTGTGGAATATTGAACGCGCCGATTATGCTACAATATTCGCCATGAAAAGCGAAGTTCCAATCGAAGTTACAGTTAACCAGCCATAACGCTTATTTCCTATCTAATATATATCATATTAAATTCTGTTCCAAACAGTTGAAGTAAAATTACCGTAATTCGTTTCATGAAAATAAGATGATGAAAACAGTTGAGGTTCATATTATGCTTAACCGAAGAATGCACAATTTCATACTAAATTTTAGACTACTTTTAGATATAAAGCATGTTTAAATGTAAATGGCTTTCCTATGAGTTATTGAAACTACGTATAATATATTTTTCGGACACAGAATTATTAAGTTTATTCAACACGTTATATGAAAGATATTTTTTTGATTATATGCCATTTTATTTTAAGTTTTGCGGTGTCATCGACATGATGACGGTGGCGTCTTTAGATAAAGGCGCTATTCAGTTGTCGAATTAAAGTCCAACCTCAATGCTTGATAATCCACCTCGTCAATTAATCTTATAGTTGGTTAATAAAAAAAATGTCTAAGATATCGCCGATAAGAAAGAATAACAAAGAGAGGTGAACTACTGGCACCATAAGCGTTGCTGCACATCCATGCACAGACAAGAAAACAAAGAAAGCCCACTCATACGACGCAGTGTGGTGCAGCAGGTTTAAATCAAATCCAAACCAGTGAGGGATATCTTAAGGCTATAACAGTTGTTGGGTTATATAAGTCATAACTACCAAATATAAACGTATTATGAAGTATAAAACATGACGCTGACAAGTAATAATTTCCCGACAAATGAAGTGATTAAAAGTTTTTAGAGTCTAGCGTAAAAAAACCTTGTCCGATTCTTGTAATTGACAATATATATGTTACGCCACAGATGACCTCATTTTCTTTAGGATAACATTTCCAGCCCCATTGTGGTCACGATAATCTGTTAAACTTACAAAACCGAATAAGGAATCTCAATACTGGTACTTACAGGGACAAGGGGGGAAATCGTTAAAGAAAACAATCAGGATTTGTGTTTTTATTCCGGACTTTTTAAGTGACCTGATTTACTTTTCTATTCAAGTTTCGTAACCGAAAATGTACGCCAACAGAGGAGCATGCATGTAAAGATAGTCTGATACGAATTGGTTGTACTAATTTGTAGAAACATGGACTTCTGGATACCCCAGGCTAATATGTTATTAGAATCAGCACTTAGCAATTCGGCAGAAATATGTAGTGTTCTGTGTAGTTCGGTGCCCAACTCGCCTTGATCAGCATATTATAGCACGTTGATTATAAGGAGCCGAATTGATATCAGATTCAAGAAATTTTCCGTATTAGTTAGTATTAAGTAAAAAAAATAAATGATAAAATATTCATGATGCAGTGGTATATTTATAATTATATATCCCACGTCGTCCATGAAAAACTTAAATGGAACTCAAGTTCGATATTAAGGTCAACGACGACAGTTAAAGAGATACTAAGACAAAAAGGAAGACAAAATCAGGTATTCAGTTAACACCTAAACAAATGGATAGACAATAACGGGTACTTAGTAGATCCCAACATCAAAGGAACACATCACGCTTCCGTCAAAAGACGTCACCAAACCAGGTGTACCGAAAGGGGTCAACACACAAATGGTGGCCGATGCAAATTATCGATAATTCTATTACCTTTTCAATGTCGGATTACATTACTTTTACCTCATTTGGTCAATCGGTCAGTAGGGAATTATTAGCTAAATATAGAACTGATCAATGTCGTCGTTATTGGTTATAAGTAGTAACAGACGAACGTTTTGGAAAATGTTCAACATTATGATGCTTATGTGATATAGTGTTACATCACGAAAATAACCATCCCTCATGACACTGAAAATAAATAATGAGGCCCGGGTCCCACACAGTCCGTCTTTGGAATTGATTTATGTATATTTCTTGTTCCTGATATTTATGTATGAAGGAACAAAGAACGATACCGGCGATTGGTGTGTAAAGTTAGCCATAATCAAAATGAGAATTACAATGATAAAAATTTAAAAGTTCATTTGTGTTTTTGGTCATTTCACAATGCATACTTTGTTTAATGCAACAACTAAATTTACATAAAGTGTTCAATGTAATAAATGAACAGACAAGGATTAAACCTGACTGGCTGTGGGGTCTGTGATACATAGAGTTTTTAAAGTTGTGTTTGTATTGTCGCAATCTATTTATTTTCGCATATCGTATATAATAGCATAGTTTAAATATTAATGTTTTCCCTGAACTTGACACTAGCGTAGAAATGAAGTATACAGACATTGATTAGCTTTATCAAAACGACTAAAATGCATTAGAGTATAAAGTATACAATGGTTTGCGTCATGTCTGGCGGACAAGTTATGGTAATGGAATGCTGTGACCAACCTCATAAATCGTTCATGATAATATGTTATGACCTCCTTCACAGTTGAAAAACCCGGAACCAATTCGTATAAAAAATCCTACCTACGTCATATATCTTCATATTAAAATATTGCGGTATATTAATAACAGGAGCCCGACACATTTTTAAAGATTTTTTGCCTCATATTTAAACATTGGGGATATGTGATGCAGCCATTAATATTAACAACGGAACATACATTGATGCCAGAAAATCATTATTTCATTATTTTTATATAATCAGTCAACAGTTATGTTTACTTACACATTATTTGCAGCAGCAAATATAATGAAACGAAGTGATATCCTTAAGTCTCCCGGTCAGATTGTTTTCTATTCTATCCATTGTCTATCCTCTTTTAGACCATCCGGTGACTTGCATTGTATAGACTAAAATTATTCCACAGTTGACTATGTTGGGTGGGTCAACTTTGTAAACCGTCCCAAAGTCAATGAATATCGATTGATTAGCCTTCAAGACCACGTCAACTTTTATACAAGTATTGTCAGCTTGACATATCAAACCTTGAAACTCGTATTCATTTCCATCACAGCAAAAGCCTGTGTCATTGTTCTAACTAGTATATTATACACGAGGTTAATATAATAACGACTTTCTTAAGCATCTTATAAATATGTTCGCTCTGTCATTTATTGTGGATGGCTCTAACATGTCGTTTTATCATTGAGGTTAAGCAAACTGTCCTTCGGACAGACATAGACATGTTTTAGCTATGCTAATACAGCCTTTGTTTGCCGATAACTCAGAACTAACAATTTACATGTATATACTATATTAGATAAAGGCGGTACTTACATTGGCTATATCGATACATCCCTCGGATGACCTTGAATCGAGCGACCTTTGGTTTGTTGGAGAGGCAGATGTGGAGGTCTTAATTGGGTGTTGAGGTGGCTTGGTGGATAAGGTCCTCTGTGTTTGTACCTGTCAAGTATAGGAGAAAATGTAGCTTATACCTGCACGCTTTATAACGGTGATGCCATCAATCCCACAGACTCCATATCAGAGACACTTGGTCATTGGTTGAAGGTTATCTATAACGGACCATCGACTTGAGTGTTTGGGTGCTCGAGTTCACAAGTTTACTTCTACCCTTGTGGTAGACCACTTCGATAAGATATTGCATAAGTAGTGTGTGTATATACATATTAATACCTTGTAGGTAGCATTATTTATGGCGTTTAAGAATGTAATCCTACAACTTATGCTAATTAACATATATAAGTTTACCCCTTCAGAGATATAATAGACCCCCTGCTTAACTGTGCGCCAATAAAGAAACAATGCGTATGACGTCAGTCTTTAATAGTTACCCAATGAAAATTGACTCTGGATTTGCAAAGTGGATTTGAAATATATAACGACAAAATTCGCTCCTCATTTACATACCCTGTTATTCACTTGTTGGTTGACATATAGAAATATTATACTATGAAAAATATATCACATCCAATTTTGATAAATCTGAACAGTCGCTTGAATGGTACGATTTTTTCCTAGTTAGCGCTGTTATCTATAACCTAGGGGAAATACACGCGTTGATATCAGTAGGGAATAAAAATTGCTGGGTTGATAATTTATATAAAATATTTTCATATATTCAACGGCTGGAGCTAATGTGCTCTGCAGGTCCTGTTTTACCAAGGTGCATTAATTTTTAATTAATGACACATAAAATATCTATATGGAAAAATAATGATCATATATATAAATTATAATTCATGTTTCACGAGACCTCTTTCAAATTTTGTGTCTATACATGAGTGTAAAAATAAAACAGTGAAGGAAATTAAATAGAAAAATATAGCAAATAAATGGAAGATCCCCTAAACGGTAACCTGAGTCCTACGGTATTAATTTTTGTTGTTGTAATATGAAGTGGAGTCAATCAACCCTACCAAAATTTGAGTAAATAAAGGTAAAGTACAATGTTAAGTTTGTCAGGACCACGAGTTGATCATTCCTAGACCGATATTCAGTTAAATCGGCCTATTAGAACTTGACTAAAAGTTTGAAATAGTATTTAAAAATGGCCGGCCATGGCGGCCTTATTGGATTTCTGATCGACCCGAAAAATAAAAACACTTTGTCAAGACCATAAGTTGATAATTCCTACGATGTTTCAGTTAAATCGGCCCAGTAGAACTTGACTTTAAATTTGAAATAGTTTTTCAACATGGCGGCCGTGGCGGCCATATTGGAATTATTATCGACCCAAAAATTAACAACACTTGGTCAGGGAGTTGTCAGTAACATTTCCATGAAGTATCAATGAAATCCCTTTGACAGTATTTCAGCTTAAGTTGAAAATGTAAAATGTTAACGGACGACGTTAAAGCTCAGGTGACCTAAAAAGTGTGGGTTGTATATCAGAAATGTATTGTTTGTGTACACCGATAACAAATAGAAATTTGGTAAAGTAAATAGAAAGCCTTCAATTTGCCTGTAATTACCCAACATACAGCGCAGATAATTTAATTAATCATTATATCCTCGACATGGTTACGGTAAAATGGCTACGAAACTTCCTCAAACAATGATATATGTGTCCGTTGTTTTTAAGGTTTTGAAGTTTTTTATATGAATAATTCCTTTTCATATTTTCACTTTTCCTTTAAGGCAATTATGACTCATATAGATTTGACAATAACTTATCGATTTCAAAACGACTTTGCAAATGTTTCAACTTACGACGTTGTATCAATATTTCCATAAATCATTTTTTATTTGCGGTCTTTACAAAAAATTGCGAGAGCGATTAAACTAATACTGTGGACAATTGAATAAAATCAACAACACATTAAAGTCACGAATAACTGTTCGATTTATAAAATCACATAACTTCAACGACTGAAACCAACATATTTATTTTACTGATTGGAACTGATAGTCTACACATGGCTTTTAAGTTTAAAATAACACATTCATAAAGCTATTCAGCGGTCTATGAGCGGCGACTTTGATCTGACGTACCGGAAGTTTAGTCATAAATAATCAGTTAACATAACGTGGAAATAGCGGTGCCTCGCTTTGGTGTGATGATAAGCAAATCAGTCGACATGCGTGATGTTAAATAGTGTTTACAAATGTGTATGTTAATATAGATGAATATTACATTATTTATTGTATTGTCGTATCAAATTCAACCGTTACCTCTATCCACTTTGCTATGGAAATAGAGATAGCAGTCATGCATTTGTCCAAACGTTTTACCCGTGTTTTTTGAAGTCACAATCCATTCGTCCATGTGTTTAACCAATGGTTTTGAAGTCACACTACACAAGTCCATTTGCTTTACCCATGTTTTTAAAGTGCACAATAAGTTCTTTTATGTTTTAAGGCATCAAAAATTCGATTATATTTATTATCATAAATACTGCAACATATGTACACTATCCTTTCGTTTAGAGTAGGAACGCTGAATAAATATATCAGAAAGATGTTGCGTCTGTCTCATGAATACCTCCATTGTTAATTCAGTACAATATTGTTAACTGTGATGTACTAACCGCTGAACACATCTGTAACTTAAGTGTGATGAGTACAGACAAAGATGTATATCAGTAATAATTTAGGATATTCATGAAAAAATTGCGTGTAGTTTACATTACCTTTGTATTGATGTGGAAGCATAATTAAATCGTAAGTGTTCTTTATTGCTTTTCATATATGTTATATGCATATAGTCTTCAAATGACAACAACATTTTATTAGGAGCAATTAACGTAATTACCACAAAGTTACTTAATAATTGGTGAATAAAATTGAAACCAGTTAAAAGTTGGAACAGACAACAGCTAGAACAGTTAACGGAACGGAACAAATGATTTATTATTGTTATTTACATCAAGGGATATGGTAATAGTTATATTTGTGTAAGTATGTGGTACCCAGATATATCCACAGTGATATATCTGTACTTGTGTGGTACCAAGATAAATCGACACTGTCCTGTCTGTACTCATTATAGTACATGTACCTAGAGATGTGCACATTGAGTTGTCTGTACTCATGTAGTTCCTAGAGATATCCAGACTGGCATGTCTGTACTCGTGTGGTACCCTTGGATAACCACACTGACCTCTTTGTGCTCGTGTGGTACCGAGAGATCTCCAGACTGACATGTCTGTACTCGTGTGGTTCCTAGATATCCAGTCTGATTTGTCTGTACTCGTGTGGTACCCAAAATATCCAGACTGACTTGTCTGTAATCGTGTGGTTCCTAGATATCCACACTGACCACTCTGTACTCGTGTGGTACCGAGAGATATCCAGACTGATTTGTCTGTACTCGTGTGGTTCCAAGATATCCACACTGACCACTCTGTACTCGTGTGGTACCGAGAGATATCCAGACTGACTTGTTTGTACTCGTGTGGTACCCAAAAATATCTGACTTGTCGGTTCTCGTTTGATTCCGAGATATATCCACACTGACCTGCCTTTACTCGTGTGGTACTTAAGGATATCAACACTGACTTTTCTGTACCCTGTTGGTACTTGGGATTAACAGAATAACCTGTCTGGAGATCTCTCGGTACACTGAGATAACCAGACTGGCCTTCTAAACCCGTGTAATATACTGAGATAGCCAGACTGACATGTCTTTACTCGTGGGGTACCCTCGGATAACCACACTGACCAATCTGTAACCCTGTGGTTTGATGAGATACTCACACTTATCTGACTGTACTCATGTAGTACCCGGAGGAGATAACCAAGCTGATAGTTATGTACGCAGGTTACCCTACTGACAACAGTAGCCGGGATGTAAAAAACAATATACTACATTCCAAGTCCATGTTGGGATATTACTTTTTTTTTAATTAACAAGCAAACCTCAAGCTAGTGTCCCTTACAATTCACTTACATAAAAACGACAGCAAGATTAGATATACGAAAAACACATGGCCAACTACTGACATGTAACATAAATCCATCATCAAACTGAACAGGTTCCAATATCTCTAAGAAAATGTTGTGCTGATTCCCAATAACTAAATGAAGTCAATTAATCACACGAAACGTTAGTAATATACAGAGACCTTAGGGATTGTAACGGCGTGGTCCTAACAAAGAATTTTTCAGAAATTTAATATCTCTTCACCGCAAGGGAAAAGTAAATACAAGCTCTTCCCTAGATACGCCATGCTCACAGTATGTGATATATTGTCTGAGTTAATAAATCCTGTCTCGGTGATATTTAATATGGCTTCGTGTGTTCGTGGTGCAATTGTTGTGTGTCAATCTTTGTTTAGATATACCAACATTCCTGTATTAGAATAACTATACTATACTTCATTTATTTATTATATCAGCTTCCTGTGGTTTGTCATGCCATCTGAGGTTTCATGTATTGAAAGTGACAGTCATTGTATATATCATGTACAAATGATTGAAAATCCATTGTCGAAAATCCATTCAATATAATTATAAGCTTATTGTTATCATAGAAATCGTAACGAATTGACTATTCAATTATCTGTCATTTCCTCAATTTCAAATTGATAGAGGAACTACATAGAAATATTGTATGAGTAAAATGTATAAACACAAAGGAGACTGGCACATAACACATCCTTTTTAAATGAAGTGTAGACGGTTACATTAGAGAGAGTCAACAAAGGCACAGAATATTGGTATGTCGCATCTATAAGCAAAGACGCATTTGTGCATTTCATAATAATTTATAATGAATATAAAGATACAGTAACAGCATAAAAGGCATTTATTGAATTTTCTATTTAGTTTTTGATTTTTTTAAATTGAAAATGAAGAACATGACCCCACTATTATATATGTAATTTTACAAAAGATAAAAAGAAAGAAGTATCAGAAACGACTGTTCGTGCTACAGATATCAGTAATAATGTTGTCCTCTTCTGAACTACTGGCATGGTTATGACGTAACCATGCCGCCTTGCATTATGAGAAATTCTACAGCACAATTTGGAATATCTGTTTTAACGGCTTAATGAACTACACTATCTCAGTGTACAACTTTTTGACGATTCCACTCTTGCCTCGATTAAAACGAAGTTAAACTATATACTGTTATAAGTTCGCAATTACAACATTACAACCGATTTGTCCTTGACCAAATATTTGTCACAATCCATAACACAAACAAATTCTTTGTACGATCATAAATGGTCATTCCTCCTCGGGCACTATTGGTTTTTTCCAGATTAATTTAATAATCGACTATTAGCTTAGATGATAATGTCATCGAACTTGAAATCGTCATAATAATTTAAGAAATCATTACTTTCTAAAATAAATTAATGACTGATTTAAGAAGACTTCTATTTCGCATATTTTTTAGATAATGGAATTTAAATGCCTGAACGAATATTTCAAATCACGCTAACGATATTAATTTAATGAATCACATCAACAGGAGATAAGTTTGAAAGCTTTGAAAGTGAATATTTGAAATAAATATTTTTTCAAGAATTTGAAATCTTCTTAAATTTGATCAAGTTTACATGGTTATCATAAACTAGATATACTATATTCTACATATTCTTACATATAAATGGGTAAATACGCTGACTTTAAAGTCCATTTACGTGGCACCAAGATCCATTAACCAAACTCTGTTGAAATTTCGATCCCCCCACCCCCCACCCACTTTCTTGAATAGCAGTTTCCTGTAACATTTATTTGACTTAAGATAATAAGATATGCATGTGTGTGTCTAAGGTACAAGGCTAGAAAAAATCATGTCAATCAAATATTAATCTGAAGTGTAATTTTGCAATAGAATAATTATTTTTAACATGCCATGTACTGGTTTTATCCACGAATGAATGAATTCATCGGTAACATTAAACTAAAATGTTGGCGAAAGTAAATCTGATAGCTCAGGATATCTATAACACATTTTTATATCTCATCAATTCAAACTCAAAAAAGCATTGATGACGTGATGCCTTAGTCGAATGCAGAAAATCTTCGTTCGGTTTCCGCCTTTTGTCCTTTACATTTGTTTCAAAAAAAAATTTGACACATGTGGCTTGTTTTCACTCACCTATATTTAAAGTTTAACAAAACAGTTTTGCTGAAAGGAAAACCAACATAAGCATGAGTGTAGATTATTTTAAAGAACCGCAGACACTTCTGGACCATATGACCAAACAAAGTACGCTTAGCTAAAGTGAACCGTTCTTCAGCAGTATCAACAAGTATAATTAATTACCATTTGTTTGTACAAAGGGTTAAATGTTGTGGTCAGCCTGAGATATTGGTTTCTCTCAAAGAACACTTCAAAAACGCTTTTGGTCAGCTTTATTGTCATTTATCGATACTTAAACATGTGGCAAACACTCAACTAAATGTGTGTTGATCTACAGACCACTCGAACACTTTGACAGTGACACGTTAAAACCATGAATAATTGACAGTGGGTTGTTTTAGGACATCAATAGGACTAAAAACATGCCTAAGTTTTTTTTCGGAATGAAACACATCTCAACGATATGGAGAATATTAACTGGGGTCATAAAGCATATGTCAGCATATCGAAACATATCATATTAATGATGTTTTTATTACAACTTCATCAAGTTTATTATAACTTCTATATTATCAATGCATGAATCACGTGCATGCTACTTTATGCCTTTGTGCTACCACTAGTACATGTGGATCACACCATTAATCAGTAGCAATTTACAATACAAAAATACCATTTGTTACAAGCGGTTAGAAACATTTCCCACCATTTAATAATAACCACACTTGTATAGATTTAAATTGTGCAAAGAGACAAACAACTGTTTCCGGAAGCGAGAAATTGAGTACTTTTCCCATGTCATTTAATGAAGGTTTAAACTATATTCTGCTATCTTTAAAGTGTCGTCGATTATGCTAATCTCGACAACCCAGCACGAACCTAGATTGTCCTCACAACATCAGAGTTTTTGTTTGTCTTCATATTAAAACTTTGTTTACTATTTGAACCCCGACAAAGATACGGAACAGATAAGAAATACATGTTGTGAGTGCTCCCCAATGAGACGTGCTTACTTTATTAAAGCGTGTGTCAAACTAGGTGAATGATGTCAGCTAATCTCGATTGGATCCTGACATTTCCTTCACAATTTCTTCTTTTCATTTGAACGTATAAGTAGACGCATTTCACACATTGGCACCCTACATAGAGAGGTCAAGTTTGCATCTCAACAATACACTTTACCTTGATGATCCTAGTATAATAAGTTATAAAGTAAATTACAATAAGATTCATCAGTTTGGAAATATGTGATATCAGAGTTTTGCTTTTTGCACAAACAATGTACGTATGTCTCTGGTCGAGTGACATGAAAAATATACAATTTCGTCACATCGTTGTACAGGTAAATAATACAAATCGCTCACTCAGTCATAGCCTGACCAAGGGACCAGTCGGTCTTGAGACGTTGCGACACGTTTAATACGTACATTGTTTGTGTAAGAGCAAAACTCTGATATAACTTATAAAGTTAATTACAATGTCATTAAAGCTTGATGCACTTACTTATTTACATGTTTTTGAACATCTTTGAAGCAATTATAATTTATATTAGCTTATACAGTTGTATTATTTTTTGATCAATTAGCTATCTATTCTTGTGTGGTTGATATTAAATATTATAGATTTAATCTTAAGTATGACATATCTTTAGAAGCTACAAGTTGTAAATTCGAAACGTTATGAATAGTTTTATAGGCGGAGTCCTTTTTTGCTGGTATTCTCCATTTTGTGTCAGACATTTTCATATTTTTTTTTTAAACTTGTGTACCACCGATAAACTCCTATTGGAGGAATTAAAATATGGTGAAGAAAAATGAACCAAATTTCCTCAGTTAAAAAGCACTTATGTTTATCAGTTTAAATTTTCAATGATAAATGATCGGAATAAAACATACCATAAAACGAAGGAAAGTTTTGATTTTATCGATTTCCAAATAAAAGGTAATTAGGATCTAAGAGAGACTTAAAATAAGTTCAAAACATTAATACGATACATATCTCAGCTGTTGTGATTATTGAAACATTACAAAAAAAGTAGGAATGCTAAAATCCATTCAACACAATCACTAAAAACACTTTATATTGATCAAAAAGTAAAGAGAGAAAACCCTAACACCTAAGTACCTGTCCGTGGAGGGAGGAGAACATGTACGAAACTGATATATACTTGAGGCTATGTTTAGGAACACATTTAATAAAACATAATCGATATAGGTAGTATACATATAACTCATGTGGGTACCTGTGTAAGATTCAATAGAGTATTGAATAATAAGGGAGCACAATATTTTAAAACTATTTAAAATGTAAACAAAATATTCATGTTTTAGGATTTCAATGATCACGCTCAGCAAATACAAAACAATTTGTATTCTACATATCTTTATCAAAATCAAATATTCAAAAATTGTTACCTTATGTACAGGAAGGCACTATGCTAATGAAATCCGATATAACTATATATATGAATATATAGTCCCAGTATATGGTATTTTTAAAAGTAAATTTTAGCATACAAGAGTTGTTTCCCTTGCTTTACGATTTTTATCAAATCACTCTGAAGAGATTCAATCACAATTTTAAAAGAAAATATCAATTTGTTGAATCAAAATTTGAAATTGTAACTTTTAATTTAAACAATCATTATGCATCCAAGTATAAACCAGCTGTATGACCAAACTGTGAAAACAGATTAAATAAATAATCATGAAGGTTGTTTTTTCTAGATGCCGAAACGTCTTAGTGAAATCCTCAACATGTATTCCAGTACAAACGCTTGTTCCACAAACAACAAACCTAGATGAACGTTGCTCGGTTGTATCAAGTCTAAATCATCTAATTCAATAATAGAAAGGTTAATCTGCTCCTTTTTTTCTTTTGATTTATATTAAAAAATACCGGTCCTGTGATTCAACATTATGAAATTAACGATATATCTGCACAAAATTAACAACAAAAATTAAAAAAAAAACTAAAAAAACTAAACAATTTTGACTTAATTGCATACTCAAATGTTTAAAATTATTTAAAGGGCATCGACGTAGAAACATTTTCTGCTTTTTTCTTTCATTTTCCCCCAAATATCAGCTAGCTTGTTAACGGAACGCATCATGCTTTTGATATAGGAATTCCTCAGATCACATTCCATTAACTCCATCATGCTATTTAAATAACCTTCCATTACTAAACGAATGTCTGAGGTATCAGCGGAATCGGTTATTGCAGTTAAGGATTAGAAAGTAATGGATTTTAGAAAACACGGCGTGGACACATGTTTTCAATGTACAGAAGCAATAAATAACCCGATTTATGTGTTTACAGTGGGTAAAATAACAATCCGGTAGTGGATTTTTTATATATTTAAGTTTATACCATTGAATACGTTTTAAATTGATATTTATATAGGTAGAATTACAAAAACATAGTTAGCATGTCAAGTGATGGTCCTTACCTTGGACGGCTCTTCTAAGTACTGGCCATAAGTTTGAATAAAGCAGTCTCTACTCTCCGATATGAGGAGGCTGAATTCCTCGTCAGACAGTGTCCTCCACTTATCCCATATCTGTCGGCTCACACTCTGGGACAACTCTTTCTCGTCAAGTGCCTACATCCAGAAGGTAATAAATCAATGATTCACTCACCGTGACATCAATCTATAATTCAATACGTAATAGGTGTACTATATTGTTCGCGGATGTTGAAAAAGGATAGGCCATGCTTGGTTTGACACCATTTGTCGGTGTGCTAATACAAGATTGAGCTCAGGTAAATAGTTGTGACTGACTAGGTACGCGTCTGCTCTTTGTTAAACCAGCTTTGATGCGACCAGATCAAGCGTATGATTGACAACGATCTGCGTGATACACTCCACAAAGGAATCACATTAGAATGTATTACAGAAAGGACTTTATCGATTTCAGTAATATCATACCCAATTATTGTTAAAACAGGCTTTGTTAATTACATTTACAGCTTTACTGATGAATGGATTGATACTCGTGACGATTAACACATAATGAAAGAAACGCTTCGGAAAGGATGTTCATACAATTAACTTGATAGTATTTAAAAAAAACTGACTTCATTAATTTATTTTATTTTTCATCATAGATACAATTTCGTTGATCAATGGATGGTATCTAAAAAGTTATAAAAAATGAAAAAATCTCAAATAAGTTAACGACTGGAACTTACTTGATCGAAGTGTTTGCTCAGACGTAATCTTCTTTCATCAAGGGATGCGCTTTTCCTGATGGACCGTTTTTTCTCAGAGTCGGAGAGATTCTCGATAGTACTGTCGCTGTCCTCCTCATTGCTTAACCCGCCGCTGACTGTGCACACTTGCACCCTTCCAGGCAAGTCTTCATCCTTGGCTTGAGGACGGAGACAGTTGGTCAGGACGCTATTGCTACCTCCAAGTCGTACTTTTCCCGACCTGCTCGACTTGTTTGGTGCACTGTTTGGAACTTTCTTCCTCTTCGAACTCATGCTAGCAGAGCCTTTTCGGGGCGACGGCGCTGATGTCAGACGGTGTTTGTCTTCTATACCATCAGCTTGATGAAGGCGACCGGAGTCCCGCACGTGTTGCAGCTGTTCAATTGTCCTCAAATGGTCACCCAGTAAAATGGATATATCGTCACGGGTGATCTGGGAACCCTTTTGCACAAGTTTACAGGCGAGCTGTTTTTCAGATGTTTGGAGAATCTTCGAATATAAGTACAGACAAAAAGACATAAAAGTATGCACACTATTTAGGATCGACTGACCCATACAGGAATCAGACGGACTTGGTGACACCGTATCAGCGAGTGTCATATTTACATGATGAAGCTATCATTGAGATAGGAATTGAGGCATGACTTCTGTTAAATTATGAAAACGATGGGGGTTTTTTCTACGCCATAAAATCAACAATGTCACTCAACCTGCCCCTCGGGAGTCAAACAATGACTATTAGACTGAAACCTGATATGCATGATATATCTAATTTTTTGATTGGGTTTCAACCAATATTTATACATAAGTTATGACGCGTGTGTATTAAAATAATTACATTTTACGTAACTCGTCTCTAGATTAATATAAATAATAGAATAAAAGAAAACTCATGTACAGTTAATATAGTAAACGTTATAATAAAAATGATCGAAGCAGTGAGCATTAACAAAGTTGAACTTAAGAAAGGCAAATACAATACAATATTACGAATAAGGAACATGTTCTAAAATTTGCATACGCAATGAATTTGACAAACATGGCGGACGATTATCCGATACCTGTAGTGATTAAATAACTGATATATGTCTGGTCTGAATATCAAAGAAACCTTTCATTTGAAATAAATATTTTCAAAAAAGAAACTTAAAGTAACTGTGATGACACAACCTCATATGCGAGCTCCACCATAAAACTGTATTTAATGCAAGGACATTGATTTGTTCCAATCCTCATTTGTTACTACAACAAAACCACTAATGGCCTCCAGACAGGCGGCCATTTTGATTATTTGTATTTTTCTTACCTCTTCGTCCGCTGGTTTCAGCTGTATCTCAACCGTCCAGGGGGAGTTACCACTGGCATCAGAATCCGAAAACAGTTGTTGCGTATTAGCCTGAAATTGTGATTGTGATCTAAGATAGATTTAAAGACACAAGCATATGCATTTGTTATTATGTTTTGAACAGTGAAAGTATAATTTTGATCAAATTGACAACAAAATTTACATAATGAAGTACTTACCCCACATATAAAGTTGATAAAATTAATTTTCAATAACAAAAGGGTCTAAATCGTGACCATTTTTGTAGGATGGTCCAATTTAAACAAGTGAGACGTAAATTAGCACGTATTCGGTTCATATGTCCCAATGTTCAAATATTGGTTCGCGTCTTAATCACGTATTAAAAACAGGTTTCTTTCAACTTAAATTTTAACAATAGTCTTTTAATCACTGCAAGCTAGTGATAGATATATACCGCTGTTTGCGACAGAAATAAGAAGAGGGATTACGACTTAAATATTCAGAATAAACCCTTTAAGAAGTTAATATCATCAGAAACTGTCGGCGATTTGATGTCCATTATACACGAAATTAATTATTATTAATTGAAATTAAAAAGTGCATTATATATAAAGGTATTTAATTAACAATTTGACATGTGCAGTATAAATCTTTTAGTTTATTTTTGAACAAATTGCAGATATCTTTCATGTATTTTCAGTTACATAATGAAAGTTATCAATAAAAATGCCTTACAAATAAAAAATGGGAAATTAATGTGTTAGTTCTGTGAATTAGGAAGTTATTTCAGAGAATAGTTTACCTGGATTTCTATGCGTGGGGTGATATCGTTAGAAATACAGGTAAACACGAAATCGACAAGCTGATGACGTAGATTTCTCATGATAACCTCGTATTCTGACTGACTTAATGCTCCGTGCTCGTGTCGGTCTTGTAAGGCATCCAGGAAGGCCTCCACTAGGTCGTCCATTCTCTAAATACAAGCAATTTTAATAAGGTACAATCAGATGTTAACAAACCTATCACATTAATTTTATCACAGTTAAATTAAGACAATTTAATATCAGAAGTGAACATATCTCCATAATAACATTCTAAAAATGTTTTTAATCAAAGTTAAAACAAGTAACACCACTGTAATGACTAATTTACTAATGGAGTTTCAGAGTGTGACCTACGTGATAACATACCAGATACAGTCGTCACAGCTGAATTAATTGTAATAACTTTGTTTAAATACATTTTCTTAAAGTCTGAAAAGATGTGTTATGTTGAATTTTTCGTAATAAGTTTATAACTCACCATTGAAGCCATAATTCATAAAATAATAACACAATATACATGTTATAAAATAATAACACATTATACATGTTATAAATGTATCATTTTAAAACCAGTATGGGCTGTAAGCCGTAACAGACATTTCACCATTTCCCTTCACTAACATCCTAAAGTTAAAAAAAAAATCACATTTACGTGCGTTGTCACTTGACCACACTGTCTTCCCATCTACCAGAGAACATGCTCACTCAGTAAAACTTCATTCAAATTATTAACAGATTCCCTTCACCTACATTCTAAAGCCAAACACACAAAAACATGCATGTATGTTGACTACATTGTCAGCCCATCTACCCGAGAGCATGCGCATTCAATAAAAACTTCATTCAAATCAATGGACGTTAATCGGCACAGCAATGAAAACTAAATTAATCAAGAGGTAGTTGTTTATGACGGGATAGTTTTAAATCCTTTTCGCATCAGTACCCTGGTTTAAATACAATACAATATAAAAGTAAAGTTGATTTAAACAAAAATAATCTAACATTTTAACTAAATGTGGAGCCATTTGAGTAACTGATTGAAGGTACTATTGTAATACAGCGAACTGCATTATTTACTGATCACACGTGTCGATTTCCCCCTCGGTCAAGTTAACTATGCTTGCACCATCTATATGATACTATAGGTGGCTACTATTGGATAACAAGTGGTACCGAGATCGGAGTGGTACTAAAGGCAATCTATCGACAGACACCTACATACCTGTCATGTTCAGACGCAGTAATATATCAGTATTTAATTGTATCTTTATGCTGTAATGGATTTAAACAAATCCCCACACAATGTGTTTGAAATGCATGCTTTAAAAAAATTCCTACAGGGCCTTGAAAACAGCATATGTATCTACACTGTAATAGTCCATTGTGTGTGAAGTTTAAAAATGTCAATAATTGAGTGTGTGATGCAACACTCATTAGACACGTTAACTATGTCTGTATTTACCTACATTATATACTTATCGTTTGATGTATTTGGTACATCAGCATTCTTTTTTATCTTTCCTACTTGGAATTAGTAAATCATTTAAATCAATCGATACTTGTTTTATCTTAATGATGGCAATTATCATCACTGAAGGATTCTACCAGACCACGAACAAATGACGATCATATTTTTATTGTGTATTGCTGTTCAAAGCATTTCAATCTGATGATAGTATCATGGTTGCAATATTTATTTCCTTGAGAAATATTCTATTCCACAGTGTTAACTACATATCAAGTGCTTTCAACGCCACTGCAAACACTTGTTATCATTTAAAAAACGTAACATAATTTACTGCGGATTTGACCTAGATTCTCATGACACGTGTCCTCGAGAAAAATAGAACACTGTTAATCCCCCGGATTATTTGGTCTTATTCTCTTTGCACTTTTTCAAGAGTCTCCATGTCTCCCTTTCCTTTGCTCACATTTTTTGCCATAGCTTCATCGATTTTGAGTTTGATTAACGGTTTTCGTAACGTTTCGGTATTCTCTTATTCATATTTATTGGATAACACGAACACAAAAGGCTGGGTATATGAATATACCACTTTTGTTTACAAGAGAAATCGAATTAGAAAACAATTTATCACGGCGTTAATACAAAATGACAGACTCAGAACCCACATCGCTACAACAAGACATCAACAGGAATTGAGGAGATACTAAAAAACAGAAACGGCATATAAAACATACGGAAAATGGAGGTAAAACCGGATGTTCCGGAAGGTTAAGCGTTTCCTTCACCACGCGTGACACTAATCAATGTGTATACCGTCAAAACCTTAGGAACACTATATAACTCTATACTGGTAAGACGTCGACCCCTGAGATTGATATTACCCGTCTGATAGCCTTCACCACAAATGACACTAGTCAAGATGTTTACCGTCAAAACCTAATTAACCCTATATAAATCTATACTGGTAAGACGACTACCCCTGAGATTGAACGTCAGTAGTCTGATGGCTCCGGTATGCATGCTTTCGTCTTATTTAACGATTGTAATACTTACATATCGACATTTTATCTACTAATCGAAGAATGTACAAATACATTTATCTTATATTTGGCACGGGTAAAATCAATGTCTAAAAGCATTTCTTCTGCGTAGAATGTCTTGTAAACAGACTAGAAGACTTAAATACTATCATCTAATTGATTAATGACTTATAGCTTCGGTGTCGTATCTCAGTTTGCAAATATATCTAATGAGCTCACGATTAACAGAAATATTCTTATGTATCTTGTATACTTCAACATTTTCATTGAAAGTGTTAAATTTGCGACCCTCGTGAAAATGTGACGCCTATAACGTAATATGGTATTATACCTAACAACTGCGAAAAAGAAAACAAAAAAACAACAACATGTGACTTGGTATTGCATTCTGCAATATCTAAGCAGGTAAGAACATGTATCAAATAAATATTTTCAAAGTCATTTTTAAAGAAACAATTACAGAGTATTTATTTATATAATCTGTGGGTGGTCCCCTTGAATCCCACGGCATGTACCTCTGTTTTTGTGTTAATAGTTACAGTAAACGTCATCGATTATATTATTATCTACTTATGCAGATTAAGGTTGTCTGTTTATTACATAAACATTTTTTTACATGACTAGTTGTGCATTTATTACAATATATTTTAACTCTACGTAGGCGCGTATTTGTTTTGTGGTTTTCATATCGATAGCACGCCGATGTCTAATATTAACAAGCAACTTTATCAATCTGCATTACGTCATTTACCTAGATTTTTATAATTGATATTACAAAGTCTAGACGGATGGGAAAAGTCGGGACGCTAAATTTGACTTGTACATGATTAAACACATTTTTATCTACTTCTCTAGCAGGTGATAACACGACGTGGCCAAATTACTTTCCTAATAGCTGCAATGCGACGTAATGTTTTTCTCAACCATCAATAATTAAGCAAACAAGACTGTTATTACTACGTACAGGTACACACACATAACCTAGCTGCATCACCCGTATTACGCCAGAGAGAATGTTTTGCGTCGTTCAAACTGCACCTACCGGGGATTTAACAACCTTTTCCCCATCTGTCATTGCTATCGTTTTCAATATCTCCTTGACGTTTGACGGATAACATTGAATTTGACCATTCCTAGAATCTAGAAACCCGCATGCCTGATCACTTGGCAACGGTATCATATTGACGTCATAGATACGTGGTCTTACCGATTTGCCCGACTATATCTACCGTTTTTGGTAATTCTTAGATTGTACAATGCACCTTATGTAAACTTACGTAACTTCGCATGAAGAAAACCCCAAAAAACTGTCGAACCTCGACATTCTAAGATTAGTCCCATTTAAGTCCGTGGAAGAACGGTTTATTCATAAAAGCTTTATATACTCTAAATAACATCAAAAACCTTTATTTAAAAATATCTGATTTTATTACGCATTGCTGTATCATATTATATTATTAATTACTACCTACGAACTAGGTTGTGATAAAGCGGTATATAAGAACCTCGAATTATTATTATTATTATTAAAACACTTGAGATGTTGTCATAAGTGAAATTCATTTCATAAGAAAACATGTCTTCAAATCTAGTTTAATTTAATAACATTCTCAACTTATGAAAATTAATTATTTTACTTTTACGATAAAGAGAAGTAACTCCTACGACCTGCATCTCCCTGACGGAGTTGTACGTTCGACTTAAGGATATATAACTTATCTTTATATCACCCTTTTTACTCACTTAATAGATTGAAACACAAAAAGAACACAGTGACAGTAATCTGTGTAAGTCTTAAGTGATATAGTAAAGTTTATGTGGAAGCACGGCATGGTCTGGTATGTAAGAGGTTCATACAAAACAAAATCACAAAATAATTAATAAATAAACTGAAACTATTTATATCTTATTGCCATACACAGATTGTCAATAACCGAAAGTTTGTTTTCATAAGCGTTTGTGAAATTCACAAAAACAGTATGTATGTTCTTTGCAATGTTCCAGTAAAGACTGGCATTTTATACGATTGTATGAATATCTTACATACGAATATACACCTGGTTTATTATGATTGAAGATAGGGTGTTATACTAGGATATCCCTTCTGGTCCCAGGTGTTTAATGCCAAATTATATTGTATTTTAATCTATATCCTAATATACCGTACTTTGTGTCAGGCGGCCTTGATTGTACAATACACGCGCTCATCATACATGTAAATCATGACTGGAACAAAGGTCGAACTCCAAACAATAACATACTGAGGATTTTGAAATAAGTTTAAGTAGATCTATTTCGCACCGAACATTTTAATATACTTGCACATTCTACATTTTCGGAATGCTTGAATGGCGAATTTGTGTCTTGTTTGTTGTAGAACAAATAACGATATTGTGGTACTAAGCTCCAGATTAATATTAAGTATATCATAATGGTGAGTACGGTTCAAGTATGTTCCCATTGTCACGACAGACTGGTCTTGGTAAAGTTCCAATGACCATTTGCTGAAGAGTATGACAAGGGGAGATAATCATTGGTTTTCATAATTATCATTAGTGATGTAAATAAGTAATCATTTCATCAGACATGAAACATGTATAGAACTTAAACCAGATTGTTGTTTTGGTTCAATTATAATTTATATTCGATTGACAGGACTAGTTTTTAATGGAATACTCTGTCTACCGGTTACTCATTTATATGTTCTATTGATTTCTTGGATAAACAAAATCATTCTTTTATTTCGATCAAATCACGGTCCAGTTTTTTTGGATTTTAAGTTTTAATATGTGTAACAATTTTAGCATGTTGAGTTTGCTGTAAATAGTGTAATTTTTTGCTATGCTTGACCATACTCAATATATTATCACACCGAAAAACCCCCACCCAAAACCGACATTATTTATGTTTTTGAATATGCTATTATTATCAGTTTCTCCATAGAAGGTGATTCGATGGTATTATCACAACTTACTGCTGTTCCAAGAAGCATTGAATAAGTCTTTACTACATACATGAATTCCTTATCTGTAATTTGTATTTATATGTCATTCACAAGTCTGTATAACCCTATAATATTTCGTCTTTGTTGTAAATCATAATAGTTTTTCGCGTGCACTGTTTGTATCGACTACCTCCCGTTAACATACTGTTACTACAATTGTGTAACACTTCTTTGAATGTTTCAGCATTTATTCATGTCTTATAAATCGGTTCAAGTTACCCTGATGTTACAGTGGAACTTCGTTAATTTGGTATTCGATAATCCGGAAAATAAAATCATGTGTGTGGATTAAAGGCGTTTCACTGCGTACACATGTGACGTCATACACACGTGATATCGTACACATATGAATTCTTAATAAATAATTTAAGTTTACCTTCAATCTTCTCATGCCGTACAAGATAATTTTATATTGAAATAAGAATTAGTTTATTAATTTCCTATTAAACTCGCGATCAGAACTAGTATAGATATTACTGACGATCCTGTGTCATGGTTCACTTCACGGCAAATACATTGTAGGTATACTTCTAAATGGTACTGATTATAAGGTATATATATATGGTTCATGACAAAATGCGTTTGTAACACTACGTTTTGCATAATAAATTAATTAAAACATGCATAGAGATACTGATCACACACAAAAATAAGCAAAGTATATCTAATTAGAACAAAAGGCAAAAATACGGTAAAAAAATAAAACCTAACATGCAAGTTATATAATTAGGTTGTTCAAGTTGTAAAATCCTAATTTTAAACATGAAAAGCATAACTTCGTTATGTGCAACTTTAACTTAAAATGACCCAATCTTCACAATGTTATATCATAACACTATTCCGTATGTCATTTTCCGTATTTTGTCCTTTATAAAGAAACTTTTTATAGTATGTTTTGAACAACCTATGTCACCCATTATATATATTTATCTATACACCAGAACATCCGTATAGCGAACCCTAAGCCATTAACAAATATTATTTTATAATAATTCATTATTTTTAGAATGATTGGTGTGAGTTATGGGGATTGGAAGATGGAGCGAGTGCTAATGAAAAGGGAAATAACTTTGTAAAATGTTATATATCGATGTGCAAAGGGAAGGGGTTGTCTGCTATGTACCAAAGCTAACAGATAGGTTCGCTATATCTATGTTCATTGTTGGTGTCTCTGATTTTGTATTAAACATGCAAGAACACACGCTATATATATAGATATGTAAAGCATTCTACCATAAGGGTGATTTTCTACACGAGCCTGTGTAGTCACTCACCCTTTGGAGGTGGGTTGGCAAGCTGTTAGATGGCTCGGTATACCATTCCGTGTTAGTGGGAATATGCATATCAGCAACCGGCATTAGTATGATACTGGATATGGAGCGTTCGCTGGCCTTCTTGTGAAGATTTGCACCATAACGCTTGTAGCTGTCACTTACTATTCTGTAATAATCAAGCGTTTGACTTTGACTTGACCTAGGAGTCGGAGTCATGGAACCGGAAGAGGAATAATTATCGTATGACTTCCGGTCGTCATGGGTGACCCATCCTTTTCTATTCCTGTCATCGGATTTGTTAATCGGCATTCCTGTTTCGTCCGGAATTGTCCAAAAATCAGAATCACTATAATTTTCTGAATCCGAATCACTATCTTCGTCACTTCCGGTTGCTGTGCTACGTTTACTTACACTTCTATCACTTCTTAATCTAGATGAACTCTTTCGTTTATGAGAATTTCTACTATACTGTTTCCTATTATGGTTACAATCTCCGTAAAAGCTATCGTCATCATCCTCAATCTCATCGTCTCCCATTCGACTACTTGGAACATTTTCATCAAAATCTCCTTCTGTACCTAAACTACGGGTTGCACGTAAATATCTAACCAATCTATCCTCTGCCACAAAAGAGTCGCCACTCTCCTTCAATTTGTGTGTTTTCCGACGATCACCTAGACGACATGAATGTGGCCTGGATTTATGCACGGTATTTTGGTCTGAATACACAGTTTCGTTAGAATCGTTAGATTCTTCGCCATCATCTCGAATGTTCCTATCGCTGTTAGACCTCGAACAGTCCGTGCTTTGTCCATGTGGTATTTCATTTTCTACAATTCCAGAATCCCTAGAAATGCAGGGTCGAAGTTTGCCCGGGACGCTCGGGAGATGCTGGTCTGGTACCGCCCGTAAGGACGGTTCACTACCACGATCTCTTACTTTGCGTACGCTGTTAGCTATGACCACCGACCTGTTGCTTGAACATGCGGAACTGAACCCCGATCCCATTTCTTATTTGTTTCAGTTGGCAGGAAGAAATTAGCGCAGGCCAGACTCCGACATGGCATCATCTATCTCTCGTCTGCCTGGAAAAATAAATACAGTACAATAGAAACATTATTAACATTATTAACATATAAAGTGAAATTGGATATAAAAAGGACACAGCAGAAAGAATACACCAAAATAAATCCAGCAAGAGTCAATCGACCAATCCATCTTACACTGTTCATTTTAAGCAGTAAAGTCAATATATCTAATCCCGTATTTTTTATAAGTAAAAGTATAAAATCCATTAATATTTGCATTTTGTTTCTATTTGTGTCTCACCAACAAACGCGTATACTTCAGCTAGTTATAGCGTTTACAGTACATACCTCCATAACAAAGCAGTGTCCAAACAATTTTATATGTGTAACTGTGTAAGTTATCAGAACATAGAATCCTACAAATTGTGGAATCTAACTAGACCAGGTTTTATCAAATCGTCTGGTGAAATACGAATGAAGGGAGAGAATCAACGATAATATTCATCCAGAAGGCGATAAGAAGGAAAGTATTGTTCAAATTTAAGAGAAGCATTCAACTGAATTGTATTGGGTCTGATAAGACTTTGGCAGAATCTGGACTTACGCCAGCTATGTAACAAATACAGTTCAAATATCGGTGTTATTTCTTCAAGCAAGACAAAACTACCTAAGGTCTGGTTGATCAATCATTTATAAAATGTCAAACTTTACATCAAGCCGTATAAAGCTATTCTTTAAAATCATAATCCAAAAAGATGAATAGATATCGATTGAAATATTTAATTAGCTGTAGAGTTTATGGTTTATTTATGATACGCGACTTAATTCCTTGCCCGTTCCCGGGGATAGTCCCCTTCATGGTACACCTTTAGGAGACATAGCGTACCACAATGAGAGGAACTCGATCAGCTGGTAATTCAATATCTGTCTCATCGTTTCATGTACTTTGAACGAAACGTTTGTAGATTGTATTGCATGTAACCGACGATTGGGATATATATCGTGATATACATCGCAGGCAAACAAAAACTCTTCCAATGAGAATAAAAAAAACTTAATTGTCAACAAAATCGTAATTCGAGCTCAATTTTGAGACAACTAGGGCAATTTGTGAACAAAGCATTTTTTTTTATAAAGACTCTTGAAAAATGACAAGGAGAAAAGACCAGGTGTTCCGGAGGGGATAAGCGAACTCTGCTTCATTGACGACTAGACATCTGCCATAGAAAACAGTACCACATCGTTTACATACAACAATGCATTCCGAAATTTAAATCGAAAGAAGAGGGGAAAGATTGACCTGATCAAACACATACTTGAAACCGTCTGATCCAGAAGAGCAATCGTTTTCATCAACACAGGTGGCATCCTAAATGCACTTTGTGCAGTGTCGGAATTACTGATATAAAAGATAAAGACTTTTTCATGTATTTCTTTACATCAGTTTTGTTTGAGAGCGAATATATATGATTATTAGCTTTATTGTATTTACTTATAGAACATTAATGTCGAGAATTTATTCATGGAACATCATTGTGGTTTTCGCAAGAAATGCATTGATAATATACAAATCTAATAATGAGAAATTGTTAGATAAAGTGTTAAAATGCATATAAATATGTCTTTTTGTCAATTTTCCACATGAAGCATTCATAAAAGTGCACGAAGAAACGTCAGTAAACATCAGCCACGACACATGTTCGTGCCGTACTACCATACTCAAGGAAACGTTAGGATTATGTGTTCAATCATTAATGCATCAATTACACTACACACGAAAGATCACCGTGTAGGATACATAGTGTGAGTAAATAAAGAGAGGAAAGATGGATGTGTGTTGATGCAAAGAGAGAGGGAAGAAATGTATGTGTGTTGATACAAAGAAAGAGGAGGGAAACGTATGTGTGTTGATGTAAAGAGAGAGAGATAGAGAAGAGAAACGTATATGTGTGATGATGCAAAGAAAGAGGAGAGAAACGTATGTGTTTTAATACAAAGAGAGAGGAGAGAACCGTATGTGTGTTTATACAAGGAGAGAGGAGAGAAACGTATGTGTTTTAATACAAAGAGAGAGGAGAGAAACGTATGTGATTTAATACAAAGAGAGAGGAGAGAAACGTGTGTGTGTTGATACAAAGAGAGAGGAGAGAAACGTATGTGTTTTAATACAAAGAGAGAGGAGAGAACCGTATGTGTGTTGATACAAAGAGGGAGGAGAGAAATGTATGTGTTGATACAAAGAGAGAAGAAACATATGTGTGTTGATACAAAGAGTGAAGAAACGTATGTGTGTTGATACAAAGAGAGAGGAGAGAAACGTATGTGTGGTGATACAAAGAGAGAGGAAACGTATGTGTGTTGATACAAAGAGAGAGGAGAGAAACGTGTGTTCCAGAATGCAAAGAGAAAGGACCCAAGGGTATGTGGAATCATTTGGATGATTACAAAAGAACAGAGAAATTTTAGTGTTAGACGATGAACGGTCTCATAAATGATGCTTCAGAGAAACAGAAAACAAAACTGTTTGGAAGGATACAATGAGTACGGTCAGCCAAGTTTAGGCATACTGTCTTTTGAAAAAAGGACGTTTGCTATTTTACAGACATAAATTAAAGGTATTAAAGATCTTATACATGAAAATCCAATAAAGCGGTGACCAGTTTTTACTATCTTTTTATACCCCATGATAGGCATTTACAAGTAAGGTCCTATTTCAAACTTCTAGACTCCTTTGATCCTAGTCATTTGATCTATCTATATCTATATATCTTTATGTTCAATTTGGAAGACGATATTATCTACGTTTGAATAATGAATTTCGTGCTAATCTCAAAAACGATTTTTTTTCATTGTATTTTAACAGCAGGTCAACCAAGAATAGGAAACAAAATTAAGGAAAGAATTCGGTGAAAAGGATCAGATCAAACTGGGTGATAGTTTCCCTTTCCAATGTATGAACACTTAGCGTCCTTGTGTGGTTACTTTGAATGCCAACAGTTGAAATGTAAAGAAGGACATCAACATTTCTCCATGTTACCCACACCTGGCCTAATCCTGACCTTTGACTTTCCTGTAGATCATATACACCTGCTATTTACAAGGACAGATCCACATGGTAATTATATGTCAAAACATTTACTGTAGTAAATAACCTATTTATATGTTTAAAATATATTTATGTCAAATCCAAGAGACGAATAGCACGTTTTTTTTATGAAATACGTCATTTTCCATATAAAACGTCGTTAAGCGTTTAACAAGAAAAAGGTCACGACCATGAATTGTGGACGTTTATAGATACTTCATATTTCGGCGAGAGCTTCATAGTTTTGACTCGAGTGGTAAACACAATTACACGTTTTAAATGATGCAGGTGCTTGATGATTAATTAAGTCTAAACAGCATATTAACACAATAAATCAAATACGGCCACATGGTAGAAAATGGATAAAAAGAGATATGTAAGCCAAACGAGACATAGAAGTACAAAAGTTATATAAAAAAATTAGAACGGAAACTTTTCTCTAGGGATTTGAGACTACCATTTTCACTGACATTGTTAACCTTGATACAAAGATAACACGTGACATTGTTAACCTTATTACAAAGCTAACACGTGACATTGTTAACCTTAATAAAAGATAACACGTGACATTGTTAACCTTAATACAAAGATAACACGCGGCATTGTTAACCTAAATACAAATATAACACGTGACATTGTTAAACTTAATACAAAGATAACACGTGACATTGTTAACATTAATACAAAGATAACACGTGACATTGTTAACCTAAATACAAATATAACACGTGACATTGTTAACCTTAATACAAAGATAACTCGTGACATTGTTAACCTTAATACAAAGATAACACGTGACATTATTAACCTTAATACAAAGCTAACACGTGACATTGTTAACCTTAATAAAAGATAACACGTGACATTGTTAACCTTAATACAAAGATAACACGTGACATTGTTAACCTTAATACAAAGACAACACGTGACATTGTTAACCTTAATACAAAGACATCTCCTAATACATGTACAATCATCGGTTATTCCATTTATAGTGAGGTCACATACGTCTGTCAAATAATGTGGTAATGGCGATGAGTCAAGTCTGTCTGTTGAGTCAATAAGTGTCTGACTGGATTATGTATTGACTGATGGATTCGCTTTAATCTCCACTTATTAATATCACTGCTAAAATCACAGATGACATTTCTACACACATGGAATATTCCGTCCGGACAATGCACTTCCTGACCTCTAAACGACGGATTCAGCAACCTTAAGATATATTGCAACTAACAAATACTCTCTAAATACATGTGAAAATGATGCTAGTTAAACTGGGGTAGGCATTTTTGACCCAAATTATAGATTTATCTTATAATGGGCAGATTTATAGAAATATGGTTTAACAAATATTATTATGTGTATTTTGACGTACTGTACACAGCTGAGGTATGATTAGCGCCCCAACAGGGGTGTATCTAGAGTTTAGACATGCTGCAATTAAGGCTTGTTAAATCAATGATGTTTTTGTGTTTACCAACCAATGTACCACCTCCATCACAGGGGACATGGATCCCAGACAAACAGTAAAAATGGTCTGTGTGAAGTTCCAATGTTTAACAAATTGACGAAATGCATGCATCATAACTGTTCGTCAACATTTCAGTCATTACATTCATGTTTACTGTCTGCAAAAATTGTTATCACGACCTGAAAGCACATGTTATTAAGTATCTGAGACCTTAACAGGTTTTTCCTGTTCAGTATTTAAAGGACACTCGTACCAAATAAATTACGGCTTAGATTACAAAATACACTAATCAATTTCGTAAGAGCGATATTAACCCTCCTAGTGTCTGACTGAGTAACATGTCTTTATCAATAGCACTTGTCGCCGCTCCCATAAACCTTTCACCACTATAAACCATAATGGACTCATCCAAATAAATGTATGGTAAAGTCTATCGAAGTCACCTGGGGGTGATAGGGTTAAGGCAGAGACTACGCGACTGTTCTTGACATTTGATAT